TACCCCTGCCTTCCCTGTAACAATTGACAGAATCATTGTCAGGCTCCACTTAACATTTCACACACATCTCCATGACATGATTAACCCGTTCTTATTGCAGGAAGACAACTGTAAGACCACTATGGTCTCACGCATAATATTTTCACATTTCAGATCTATCCAAACCCAAAAACTGTTTTCAGTACTTTTTGGCAGAGTAAAATACTCAAAATTTTAAAACCAAATGGTGGTCCAAAGGAAGTTATGTTGTGAATTTGGCTCTCCTACGAAAATTGCCTGGCCAAATCAAAAGGAGTTGAAACCAAGGGAGAAACATCAGATGTGAAAGGGCAGGAAAAACACAGCTGACAAAAGGACAGGGAATGACAGTCTGACTTGGAGGAACGAATGAACGAACGAATGAATGAATGAACAAACTTTATTTTGAAAGGGACACAAATTAGGCACTCAGACTCATCTTACATTCGGCCCTTCCAAACACCCATCTTTCACACAGCAGTTGTATTTTATCATGTTATGTTCATGTAATAATATGCATATTATGAATATCAAGTCAAAAACAAAAGCATGGGTGATAAAATGCATGCACACATACATACACTCATACACACAGTGACACAAAGACACTCTCACAAACACACTCTAAGACACACACGCAAACAATCCAGACACACACTCAGAGACACACACAGCTATACAGACACACATACTCACAAACACACACACAGACAAAGGTAGCCACACACAAAGACACCTACAAACACACATACAGATGCACAGACATAAACCCACACAGACACACATCCACAGGCACACAGACACATACAGACAGAGACACACATAAACACACACACACTAGCACACATAGGGACATATGCAACACACACACAGTCACAATTGCAGATACACATACGCACACAGACATACACACAAGAAAGAAGAATTAAGCCAAGAGGCGGCGCAAATACCAGAACTTTAGCCACGAAAGTGGCGCAAATAAACAAGATCACAGATATAGCCGGAGACTGTTGGCAGCTTCAGCCAGCTAGCAGCAGGTTGAACGTGGTTGAGGTTTTAAATGTTTCTTGAAAGGAATTGGAACTGAAACTGAAGGCTGTATGTAGATTCTCATAGGGTAGCACCTGCAGATAAGAGGGCAAAGAAAACACCACACAAATAAGGCAACCTTGTGTACATGAAGCAACTGTACTTTACCTGCCTTGGCCATCTGGGCCAGGAGTCCGGAGAAGTGGACTCTGTGGTCCTGTGGCAATTTTTGCAAGCTCCATCAGTCGCTCGTTTTCACAAGATGGAAGAGCTCTACTGTCTGCTGTAACTATGAAAACAAGTTTGAAAAGAAAAGTGAAATGTAGTTTCTTTTTTAAGCACCAACAACTATCTGAAAACTAATTCTTCTTCTTTTTGTCTGATTCATTTTCCCCTAAAAGGGTGGTTGGCACATTTTGCTGTAGTGCTGATCTAGGTTGATAACTGTTCATTATGCCTAATACACCTGATTTCAGCAAACCGTTATTTAGATATCTTACATGACATGCTTAGTCAATTCTTATTTTCCTCCAAACTTTCAGGGCAAAACCTGAGAGTTATACACTTATCTATTACCTATCCATAGACCAACTAACACTTTTCTTCAGGGGAAAACCTGAGAATTATACACTTATGTATTACCTATCCATAGACTGACTAACACTTTTCTTCAGGGAAAAACCTGAGAATTATACACTTATGTATTACCTATCCATAGACTGACTAACACTTCTTCAGGGAAAAACCTGAGAATTATACACTTATGTATTACCTATCCATAGACTGACTAACACTTTTCTTCAGGGAAAAAACCTGAGAATTATACACTTATGTATTACCTATCCATAGACTGACTAACACTTCTTCAGGGAAAAACCTGAGAATTATACACTTATGTATTACCTATCCATAGACTGACTAACACTTTTCTTCAGGGAAAAACCTGAGAATTATACACTTATGTATTACCTATCCATAGACTGACTAACACTTCTTCAGGGAAAAACCTGAGAATTATACACTTATGTATTACCTATCCATAGACTGACTAACACTTTAGCCGTTACAATTTTTTTTTGTCAATTGTAGATAAATACACAGTCTGTTGATCAAGTATATTTTCTTGACAGTGTTAAGGCTATGTTTATGACTATTTTGAAAATGTGATTGCATTTTTTATCGGTTTCTTGACCTTCTTCTAATTCTGTAGCCAGATAATAATCCTGTTAGAGGTTTCTTAACTCTCTGCCAAGGAACGCATCACGCGATAATCTGTTACAACCGAGCAGCCCAATCTGTGCGTGACGAGTGAAAGTTTCTAATTACAACTGGCCAGTATAACAATGCAAACAAGCAGTTTTGAATGGTATTTCTTGTTCTTTGTGTTTGCTGTAACATGTTTTTAAAGGCATATAATGTAGCATGTCTAAATAAACACGTGTTTATCACATTTATCTGAAGCTAGACAAAGAAAGTGATGAAGTAGATATGTTTCAGTCATTGATAGAGTTAAACTTAGATAAGGGATAGCTATGATATATACCTCACGCAAAGCTACAATGCCAACAAAATCAGCTTGTACAAAGAGAATAAATATTAGTGAAAAAATATTCTTCAGTGACAACAACAAAATTTCCATACCATTAGCTGTTGTATTTACACTTCTACTGGATACAGTGTGGGTTTGACCCCGACATCTTTTCCGCTTCTGGTGGTACTTCAAACCATTAAAACTGCAAATAGAATTGATCATTCATAACATATTGAGAACAGATGTGTGAATGTATCATGTCTATGTGGCCACACATGAAGAAAAAAAATGTATCTGTACCAAGGCAAATATATGCAGGTAATAATTGATGCTAAACATAACAGCTGCCAGGTCAATTCAGCCTAAAATGTTAACAGGGAATGTCCTGGGAAATAAAGGTGGCTGGTATGTCATTGATAACATAACCCTTCGATTTTTCCTACACAATGTCAAATGTCACAGGAGTGAAAAGGTTTAAAAAAAACTGACCTTTTTCACTCATTCTGAAGGAAACAAGATGTTTTGACCAAAATTAAGGTTTAAATTACTACAGTGCAGACCTGATAAGGAGAACTCATGGGTACCCAAGAAATGCTTTCTAGTATCATAAATTCCTCCTATTCATATGTCAACCACAGAATTTTGTGTGTGTGTGTGTGCGTGCATGCGTGTGTGCATGTGTGTGGCTGTTGTGGTTTTTTTATGTTCAGTAGTTTGCCACGGCGCTCTGAATGGTCAGCTCTCTATACTACTGTTGAAACTAAAGCAAGACATACTGCTGTCAATTTGCCTGCAGCTGGGATCAAACCCAGTGTGACAAACGTGTATAAAAACTGCATAAATGACTGAAAGAAATTATTATATGACACATATAATAGCTAAATTATTATATATCATATCAGTTAGTCATTCAGTAGCATGTCTTTTGTAGAACCTTGCTCCCATAACAACCCACCAGAAAACTTCTTGATCACAAGCAAGATGTCTCACACCCATCTGGAAATCATTCGCTACATCCTGCACCAATCTTCTCTTTGGACATTCTCTTCCCAGGCATATACTCCTCCATTATTGTTCTCTCTAAACTTTCGTGACGTTTCAAGTGACCAAAATATTTAAATTTTCTGTGTTTTATCATCTTTAATAGCCAACCTTCTTCAATATTCAGTTCTTGAAGTATGGATGTATTTGTTCTTTTCTTTACTCATGATATTCTTAGAACCCGTCTGTAACATTTGTATTCAAAGACATTTATGCGCTGTTCAGCTTGTTTAAATGTCCAGGTCTCACAGGCGTATGTTGCAATGGGAAAGATGTATGTACTTTAGAAACCTAATTTGTGTAGTTTTGTCTGTCCCACTCTATAATATATTCAGTTATTTTAGTCTTTGAAGTGCAAGTGATAGTCATTGTTTAATCTCCTTCTTTGTGTCACCATATATATATCATATACAACAGCAAAAGTGTACAGTAACATTAAAATGGTCACTGTTTATCTCAGTTATAACCCTGAGATATGAACGTGGTATATAAATAAATTGATACATGGTGCTGACTATGAGAATAATAAGATAAAGAAGTACAAATTAAAGGACGTGCCAAAGAAATTTAGACAGTGGTACCTCAGTTTACATTTACTTTGAAATATGCTCAACTTTGTCTAAGTCCCGTTTGGAATGACCATACAATGTCACATTTCTTAAACAATCAGAACAGGTATGCTTCGTGCAGAGTGGCATGCTTCACTGCGGAGGACATGGGTGAGGAGTACTGCCGGTGTGTTGGGAAATGAACAGGCGGACAGACTGGCTGGCTCTGCACAACCTGGTGGAATACTGATACATGATAGGGCAGACGTGGTTAGTGCCTTGTGGGAGAGCGTGTACAGTTCGGAGTCAAACCTGAGGAGCCTCAACCAGGCCCAAGTAGTGAAAAGAGGCAGAAAGGAAAAACAAAGAAATTTAAAGAAAACAAAACCAGAATTTCTGATTCCTGAAGTTTATTGGAAGGGAACTCTCCTTCCGAATAATATTTCCTCCTCTTCCCTTTTCAGTACCATCCTTGTAGGCACTCGACTCTTCTCAGGAAGGTAAAGTGAGGTTAAATATCATTCAATTCATTGAACTGCTTTTGTATTCATGTCTTTTAGTATTAGGCGGTAAGTAGATTACCTTATACAATCACATCAATGTATAACATTCCTGTAACAGTAGGATTGCCTTCTTTTTTGATTTGTTTATGGAGATGGATTAATCATTCTCCCTTAATTTTATATGGGAAAATCTGTTTGGTATACATACAAGAATCAGGAAAAGATTAAGTATGTATACCGAGGTGCCACTGTCTTGACAATATTTCCTAACACAACACATTTTTTTTTTTTTTTTTAAATACAAAGACAATTTCAAATGATAGCACAAACCTTTTAAACACTTTTCGGCATTTATCACATGGGAAACTTTCATTGTCACGTCGGTGTCGCTGCAGATGATATCTGTAGCCAGGCCCTGAGTAGAGAGTGTGGCCACATACCGCACATATTCTGGCATTCCGAAATGGCTGCTTAGTTAACTGCTGTTGATATTCCTGCATCCGTCGTGACTGAACATGGCGTCGTTTCACTACCTGAAAGATACAATCATTTTACAGCTAATTACAAGTCAGTGACAACAAAATGTCTTTAAATAATACACATAATTGTCAGAGGGTTGACATCATTGCTCTAAGTTTTATCCAGTACAGCTCGGTTTCATGTTAGTATCACATCATCACTATCACCAAGTGCCTTGCCAAATGGCGTGGGTGATCATGCTTCTCCATAATCTGCGATCCGGAGCTGCATGTATCAGTTTTTGTGTTGATACCCCCAATGACAACAGCTCACAGAAGCCAGCTGCAGGCCTCGGAAATGAGATATCTGAGAAAGGTGGTCCAAGGGACAAGAAGGGACAAAGTCCGCAATCAGACAATTCGTCAAGATCTTGATACCCAGTCCTTACAAACCCTAGTGGATCAGTCACAGTTACGATGGTTTGGACATGTATGCAGAATGGGAGAAAATCGGCCACCATGGCAGGCTAAGAACCAGGGAACCAGACCTCCAGGACGACCCAGGGTGCGCTGGGAAGACAACATCCGACAGTCCCTAACTGACAGAGGACTGGAATAGAACAAAGCCAGAAAAAAAACTGCTGATAGAGACGTCTGGCGATCTCTCTGGCAAATCTCTACACCCCAAGGTAGAAGAGGAGCGACTAAGTAAGTAAGTGTTGATACCCCTCCATGCCATGATAAAAGGCCGTCAGGAATCGTCTCCCACTGTCTTCCTCTGTCTCTCTTTCCACAAATCCTTTCAGTGGTCATAACATGTTCCATTTTCCCTCTTCTCATAAGATGACCCAAAAAATAATGACTGTCTCTGATGTTTATGATAGGTTGTCTCTGAGCACTCACCTCTTTCAAAACATCTTGGTTGCTCTTCTTAGCTGTCCAAGAAATTCTAAGGATTCTTCTATAAAACCACATCTCGGGGGCCTCAAGATATTGTTCAGCATGTTTATTAATTGTCCAGAATTCACAGCCCTATGTTAAAACTGGCTCTATGTAGCATGCGAGAATTCTGTTCCTACACCCACTGACATGGATTTATTGCATGAAATGTTCTTCATTTGATAAAATGCAGTTTTAGCTTGTCCCATTCTGTTCTTTATCTCTGTGATATATCTTCCATCGGATGCTATCCCTGTGCCTTGATACATAAATTTCTGTACTTGTCACAAAATAATCACCATTACTTCTGTCTTCCCATTATTCAAACTGAGGCCATTTTCATCACTTTTTGCCACCACCATATCTATCAATTCCCGTAATTCTTTCTGACTTGTCGCTGTCAAGACGATTGTCATCAGCACAACGCAGGTTGTTTTATGACCACCAACCACAATTTCTGCCTTGTCGCTGTCAAGACGATGTCATCAGCACAACGCAGGTTGTTTTATGACCACCAACCACAATTTCTGACTTGTCGCTGTCAAGACGATGGTCATCAGCACAACGCAGGTTGTTTTATGACCACCAACCACAATTTCTGCCTTGTCGCTGTCAAGACGATGTCATCAGCACAACGCAGGTTGTTTTATGACCACCAACCACAATTTCTGCCTTGTCGCTGTCAAGACGATTGTCATCAGCACAACGCAGGTTGTTTTATGACCACCAACCACAATTTCTGACTTGTCGCTGTCAAGACGATGTCATCAGCACAACGCAGGTTGTTTTATGACCACCAACCACAATTTCTGACTTGTCGCTATCAAGACGATGTCATCAGCACAACGCAGGTTGTTTTATGACCACCAACCACAATTTCTGACTTGTCGCTATCAAGACGATGTCATCAGCACAACGCAGGTTGTTTTATAACCACCAACCACAATTTCTGACTTGTCGCTATCAAGACGATGTCATCAGCACAACGCAGGTTGTTTTATGACCACCAACCACCATTTCTGACTTGTCGCTATCAAGACGATGTCATCAGCACAACGCAGGTTGTTTTATGACCACCAACCACAATTTCTGACTTGTCGCTGTCAAGACGATGTCATCAGCACAACGCAGGTTGTTTTATGACCACCAACCACAATTTCTGACGTGTCGCTGTCAAGACGATGTCATCAGCACAACGCAGGTTGTTTTGTGACCACCAACCACAATTTCTGCCTAGTCGCTATCAAGACGATGTCATCAGCACAACGCAGGTTGTTTTATGACCACCAACCACAATTTCTGCCTAGTCGCTATCAAGACGATGTCATCAGCACAACGCAGGTTGTTTTATGACCACCAAATTCAATTTTTGACTTGTCGCTGTCAAGACAATGGTCATCAGCACAAGGCAGGTTGTTTTATGACCACCAACCACAATTTCTGACACATTCATGATGGATCTCATTATATATTCATTGATAATGAAAACAAATCAGGTGATTGTATGCATCCTTGTCTTACCCTCCTCTTAATTATCTTAAATGTTCTCAAATTGTTATTAATTCTCATAGCTGCTCTGTTTGCTGTCAATACATGTTCTTTATAATTTGCAAATCTTTCCCGTCAATGTTTTTTAAGTTTCCAAAGTTTGATTATTTCTTAATGTTTCAGTCAAAAACTTCTGTATAGTCAATAAAGCATAAGTAAAGAGCATTTTTTTTACTTCTATAGCTCTAGAGTCCTGAGGATGTATATGGCATTCCTTGTACATTTTCCTTCTACACATTCACACCGTTCTTCACTAATTTCTGGTTTAATCTTGTTTCTTATTCTTCTCATAATTATTCTCAGTAACATTATTTGTCACATGGCTCAAAAGACTAACGGTGTGATAGTTTTTACATTTTAAAGTGCCTGGCTTCTTTGGCAGAGCAATAAATATAGATTTTAAAAGGTCATTAGGAATGTATCCACTATTATAAATGTCATTGAACAGTTTTGATATTTCAATTCCGAAATATCACAAAGCCTCAATTTCTTCCAGTGTGATGTTGTCCGGCAAAGTATTGGTGGGTCTTTGCTGCTGTCCTGGAAATATACTTCTGGTCTCTTATCAAATATGCTTAAACGTTTTTAGTCTTTTCTAGTTTCTCATTCTGAGATTGGCACAAAGCACATACTCCATGACTGCAGCAACTACCCCCTAGGATCCCCTAAACACCTGCACTCATGAACTGAAGAAAAGGGTACAAAACTGAATACACAACTTTAACAGTGTAAGGCATTAAAAAAAAATTTATTTTTCAATTTAAAAAAATGAATACTCCTGAATCTCTATGTAAAGCTTCTTCCATTGTTCTGTTTGCTTTACAGTTGCAAGATGTGACTGGCTTGAAAGATTGTAAATAAATGTTTATCCATATTTTACAAGGACTGCAACTCTCAGGATCTTACAGTGCTCACAGAATATGTCAGTAATGCATATACAGTTCAACTTAAACTAAACAACGGGGGCTGCGTGATTTCGAGGCATAGTGTCTGCCTTGAGTTCTAGAGGTTCCAAAATCAATCGCCAGTAAGGCTGGGAATTTTTCGCGTGGACTTGGACTTCTAGTAATTCACCCTGGTCCCTGGGTAGTGAGATCGGACACCCATGTGAATTGTTGCGCACATAAAAAATCCTTTGGCATAGTAAAGTCGAAAAGAGTAGCCCGGGCAAAATTTTGAGTTAAAAAATCTACCTAAAGTATTTCAGGATCTTTGCCGGTGCTACAGAGGCTGTGCACTGTGCTGAGCTTCTTCAGACTCAGACTTGAGTTAGAAGAAGAACGGAGCACTTATGGGTTACTACCGGTGTGCTATGATGTTGATCCATTCCTCAAACCTCAAACTAAAATTCAACAAACATTTCATCATTATGGGAATATGTATATATATATATATATATATATATATATATATATATATATGTATATGCTATATTCCCACTTCTCCCCCCATACTACTGCCTAAAAATATGTTTTAAAGCTTGAAATAAAATCTGTAAAATACAATTTTTTCCTTTCCAGATCAAGCAAATTAAAGGCTGAAGTAGAAAGGCTATTAAAAGGAGAAACAAGGAAAAGGTTGCAGGTTCTGTCAATATAATCAACAAAATTATAAAAATGTTTTCCAATTTAGCCAATAAAATAACAAACACTTGATTTATTCCCAAGGACCTGAAGGTTATTTGTATCACAGCGCCCAAGAAATCAGAAGGTTTTGATTGTGAAGGCTTCAGAACTATTAACTCATGCGCTATTTAACCAAAATAGTCCTTAAGATTATACTCGAGAGAATTCAAAATAAAACTGGTAAAGAAGCGGCTGAAAAAACTTGAAAATGTGTTTGTACCTTTTACATGCTACAAGAAAGCTAATGGCAAAGTAAAACATAAACACTTCATTATTATACCTTTAAGATATAGGATTAAATAGACCGGATACCAGTCTTACTAACCTATGCTGAGAACAAGAGGCAGTAAAAAGATACAACAATTAAAAAAATTCACCAAACAGAGATAACAAGAGAAGTGCAGAAGTATTGTCTCCAAGCCTTTTCAAACAAGTTAAAAATTAACATAGGAATAAGATGCAGTGTAAGATAAGCTGATGACACAGTGTTGATAGTAGAAAGTGAGCTGAAGTTGAACCTAGTGCAGAAATTAATATCTGCGTGTAGAATGTGGATTAGATATGAAATTATTTCAAACAATTTTATTTTAATAAGCAATGAAAAGGAGCGACCAATAATAAACACCACAGTTAACAGAAAGATGCTAAAATAAGTAACAGTGTTTTCCATTCTTGAACACATAACAGATGGTGACAGGAGTGAAACAGAATGTTGCTTCTTCTTATTGAGAATGGAGGTGGAGGCGGTTACTGCAGCTTTCTGGTGGCTGGAGAACAAGATGGATACACATGACATAATTGTAACTGACTCTGAAAGCATGCTGAGAAAGGTGAAGACAGAGATGCTTCGAGCAGAGTGGCAAGCTTCACTGGGAAGGTCATGGGTGGTGAGCATACTTTGAATATTTTCTCCAGGCTACGCTGGCGTAGTGGGGAAAAAACAGGCAGACAGATTGGCTGGATGTGCACCACATATCTATATATATATATAGACTGCGACCGGTACCATTAGTATTGGAACTCTGCGCTGGCTTCTGAAGATGTGGATAAAGCGCATATAGGAATGCCCTAAGTACAGTGATGTCAATTCTTGACTCAACTCAGCTGCTGCTGGATCACTGTGTCCAGAAGTGAATAAAAGAATTATTAACCTAGTTAGTTGCGTATCCTTTACAGGACTTTGCAGAACCAAACCCAACAGCCCCTGGCTGTTGTGTGGTTTTTCTAGGCACATTTACGTCCAGTAGTCTGCCATTGCTTTCTGGCCGGTCGGTTTTCTTGATACCACTGTCGAAACCAACACAAGGCGCATGGCCCACAGCTGGGATCGAACCCGGCATCCCGGCATTACAAAGCGTTCTCATCGACTTAGCCACAGTGCCGACTATTAACCTAGTACAACTTCTTTTTCTTCTCATGCTTTTGTCCTTAAAGAACAATTGGCATATTGTCATTTACAGCTAGGTTTCAATATCTGCACTGTCCAGCCCAGTGCATTTAATTTCAGCAAGAGTATAATTAGTTGCCTTTAATGACATGCCTGTTAGAGGACCGTAGGTCTATTTACAGTGTTTAAAAAAAAAAAAATTACCCCAAAATAGGGCAGCAGCATCCAAACAGGTATTTAACTCCTACACAAGAAAAACCACCATCTAGTACCTTGCTGACTGGAACAAATGTAAACTCTATGGAACACTGAATGAACTAAAAACAACAGTGAAATTTATAGAAGAGATGAAATTGCTGATGTAGACAACTTTTTTTAGGCGAATGAAATAAGAAGAATAAGAAAACAATGTTGTAAACATTATTGGCCACACTTACAGGGTCTCCAAGCAAATAATGCTTAGAAATATTCTTCTTAAATACATGGTAGCAACCTCTTTATCTTCTTTTTCTTCTACTGTATTGACCCTTTAAAGAGCAGTTGGCATGATATTGCGATGTAATTTACAGCTAGGCTGTGATATCTGCACTTTTCAGCTTAACACAACCAGGTTCAATCAATCAAGCAGGGGCCATCTCCACAGTGAAGGTTGGTTGCAATGGATCTCCAATACACTTTGTCTCTTTTCCTGGTTGTACATAGACTGTTCTTTTTATATCACTTGATTTGTCTTCCCACTTGTATCATGGTCTGCCTCTCACTCTCTTGCCGTCGATCTTTCCCTCCAATATGGTTTTTAAAAGAGTGCAACCTTTCTTAGTGTGGCCAAAATATTTTAAATGTATCATTTCTGTTTCTTTCTGAAATTCTCTTTTCATTCATAGTCTTTCCAGTACCTCTGTATCCATATCAACAGATGCATAATGAATTGCCCTTTACAACATGACTGCTAAGGGGCAGTAGGTTTTGGGAACCTACACATGTATGCAACTTTTTCAAATACTGAACTCACCTGAGGTTGTTCCTGCTGACTACTCCAGACTTTGCTGTGTGATCTGACACTGCCACATATGTCCTGTCCCTTCACTTGTTTACTGCTGTCGACATCGCTGCCATCATTGTTGTTATCGTCACTTTTATCCGCAGCGTCTTCCTTACCATTGCCACTACCTTCAGCGAGCAATGTAGTGCTACAGGCTGCAGATGCATTCACATCATCTTCCTGACATTTAAGTATATGACAATTGAACACAACAGATGACACTAACTGGTATACATCTCATAGTTAACATTAGCAGTTTTCAATCTTTCGTAATTTAAACCTTCCCTGAATAAACTACATTCTTTCTGCAATGTCCCTTTGTGACAGCTGGTAAAAGTTTTAAATATTTCTAAAGATAGATAACATAATCTACTTCTTATACTTCTCTGAAAAGTACACTATTACATATTTTTCTCAATTATATATTTTTCTCAACACTTATGATCTATCTATATTCTTGTAATCTATTACAATCAACACAAAATCTACATGATTTTAAATAACCAGAAGTTTTAGACACACATAAATATCCAATGCCAAAAAAGTCAAAAACTTGATATATTCTGATATATATATTTATACTATGAATATGAATGACTGGAATGAGGACATATAAATGTTCGAGAGCAACCTTAAAATAAACGCTGATGAGAGAGGTCAAAAGTGCTAGACTAGATTCCATCCATGATATTAAACAGATTGCCCAATATAGAACAGAGCGGAGGAATAGACTGCGAACCATATGCGACATACAGAGCCATAACAGGATAATGCTGAATGTTACACAACTGCGACAAATCTGAATTTTTTTACATCAGCCTTGCTACAAGAGCCATCTGAAGTGAAACTTGAGATATATACCAAGATATTTTGCGATATTATATTCAGACAGGATTGAAGACAGGAGCAATACTTCTACGTGTATTAGAGCAGGGTTCACAACCTTTTTAATGCATCGACCCTTTAATATAGTTCCTCATGTTGTTGTTGTGACCCCCAAAAATATAATTATTTTCATTGCTACTTCATAATTTCAGTGAATATGTGTTTTTCAATGGTCTTAGGCAACTCCTGTAAAAGGATGTTGTGACCCCCAAAGGGCTCGCGACTGAAAACTGCTGTATTACAAAGTCCCATGAGAGAGGCAACAAATTTGTGGTTTCTTCAAAAATATAACAAAGTCTTATCATTAATTGCTGCTTTATCCCAGTGTGTCAGTTTTGGGGCCCAGTTTTGAGGACAAAAAAGAACAGATCCTGAAGAGTAGTAGAATAAAACTAAGCTATTTTATTGATAATACCTGAGAATTGTATACAGTAATTTGCATTTTGACCCTTGACTTGAGATATAACAATAATCTTACATGAAAGATGGTTGCACTGATTGGCTGATTGGTTAGATGATGATTGATTGATCAACTGGTTGGGTCACTGACTTGCTAGCTTGTGGCTGGTTATATGGATGGTGATTAGTTGAGTATCTTCTTCTTCTGCATTCATCCGAAGATGTAATTGTATTGTGTCAGTGTACAGCATGGCTGCGATATTTGCACCTTTCAGCCAACACATCCGACTTCTGCGGGCATTTGTTGACTAGGTTAGCCTTCCCAGTGGTTGAGTATAGTTGACTGGAGTGGTAGTTGACTGTTTGGTTTATTGATAGGTTGACTGACTGATTGATGGTTGGCTATGTGATTTACTAGTTAGCTGGGTGGTGATTAACTATTGGTAGTTTGGTTTACTGGTTGGTACCTAACTGGTTGGTTAGTGGGTCAATAGCTGGTTGAGTGGTGCTTGGGTGCTTTGTTGGCTGGACTGTTAGTTAAGGAGGGGGGGTCGACCACTGATTGAGCAGATAGTTGGGTCGACAACTGGTTCACTAAGTCACAGACGTCACAAAACTAAGATCTGAACTTATATTGGGCAAACTTTGGCACAGTCTATCCACAAACCAGATTCCTAAGTCTAGCTGATACTTCAACGATTTCCTTACTGCTACACAGTGAAGTTAAAATAAACAATACAGGCCTTCAGTGTTTTCTGCCATTGGAACAGGGAAGGGGAGCTCTGCATCATTATCTCTTTGGAGATTGTACTGCAAGTAATAAGCCAAAAAAAAAAATGGGATGCAGAAATGCTGAACACAAAGTGCTGCATCAGGAGCAGGGCTCATACTGGCTAGGACCTATCAACAAACTCTCCAGTCATCCCGGAAACAGAGAGCTTTAAATTGGTAGCATCAGAGAGCACTAATGTGCAGTATTAAAGAGCACTAATGGGTAGTATCCTAGAACACTAATTGGTAATATCAGACAGCACTCATGTGCAGTATTAGAGATCATTAAATTGGTAGTATCAGAAAGCACTAATGTGCAGTACTGAAGAGCACTAATGGGTAGTATCCTAAAGCACTAATGGGTAGTATCATAGAGCACATTTGCAGTATCACAGAGCACTAATGTGCAATATCATAGAGCACTAGAGGGAAGTGTCAAATAGCACTAATGTGCAGTATCCCAGAGCACTAATGGGTAGTATCAAAGAGCACTTATGAGCCGTATAATAGAGCATTAAATTGGTAGTTTTGGAGAGCACTAATGTGAAGTATAATAGAGCACTAATGTGAAGTATCCCAGAGCACTAATGTGAAGTATCCCAGAGCACTAATGGGTAGTATCATAGAGCACTAATGTGCAGTATCATAAAGCTCTAATGGGTAGTATCTTAGAGCACTAATGTGCAGTATTAGAAAGGACTAATGGGTGGTATCCTAGAGTAATAATATGCAGTATCATAGAGCATTACATTTTGTAGTATCAGAACGTACTAATGTGCAGTATCAGAGAGCACTAATAGGTAGTATCAGAGGTCACTAATTGTTAGTATTGGAGAGCACTAATGTGCAGGATTATAGAGCACCAATGGGTATTATCTGAACCTCTATGCAGTATCAGATAGCACTAATGGGTAGTATCATAGAGTACCAATGTGCAGTATCCCAGAGCACTAATGGGTAGTGTCTAAGAGTACTAATGGGTAGTATCAGAGAGTACTAATGAGCAGTATCATAGAGCATTACATTTAGTATCAGAACGTACTAATGTGCAGTATCAGAGAGCACTAATGGGTAGTATCAGAGAGCACTAATGAGCAGTATCATAGAGCATTACATTTAGTATCAGAACGTACTAATGTGCAGTATCAGAGAGCACTAATGGGTAGTATCAGAGATCACTAATTGGTAGTATCAGAGAGCACTAATGTGCAAGATTATAGAGCGCCAATGGGTAGTTTCTTACAGCAATAATGTGCAGTATCATAGAGCACTCATGGGTAGTATCAGAGAGCACTCATGGGTAATACCCAGAGAGCACTAATGTGCAGTATCACAAAGCACTAAATGGGTAGTATCAGAGAGCATTAATGTGCAGTATTGCAGAGCACTAATAGGTAGTATCACAAAGCACTCATGACTAGTATCAGAGTAATAATTTGTAGTACAAAGAGAACATTAATTTTTAGTATCGCAAAATACTAATGGGTTGTATAACATAGCATTCATTAGTCATATTACAGAAGACTAATGAGCAGTACTGCATATCACTGATTGGTGATATTGAATCACACTAATGAGTAGTGCAACAGTGAAATAATGGATAGTATCCTAAATGAATAGTGATGTAGGATACTATAGGCAGTATCATAGGATAATGAAGAATAAAAGAATAACATCAATAGCAGTATATCAAAAACTGTTTAAAAAGTAGCATCACATGACTCGAAAGAGTATTAACTGATTGTATCACATGATATTAATGAATAGCATCACAGGGCGCTATTGATTAGTGTCATAAAGTACCCAAAGACTTTATCATATGAATAGTATCAAAGTCACACTCAAGAAGATATCACAGAACACTAACAGATAGTATCAAATGACAGTAATGGGTGGTATCACAAGAACTATAATGGAAGTATCAAGGGACAGTAACCAGATAGTATCTTGGACAATTAATTAATAGTATCATAGGAGAGTGGTATCATATTGGTGGTATCTTAACACTGTAATTATGAGACATAAATGGATCATATCACAGGGTACTGGTATCTTATGACTGTGATGAGTGGTGTCAAAAGATACAAGTGGATGGTATCACAAATAACTAATTGCAGTATAAATAGACAATAGCTAAAATCAAAGAACAGTAGTCGATAGTATCACAGAATAACAGGCAGTATATCATAGAACAGTAATATACAGTATCACAGAATAATAATAGGTGGTATCACAGGATATTAATTTGAAGTATCACATGATATTAATTTGTAGTATCACATTATATTAATTGGTAACACAGAGTCATAGAAACTAATGGACAGTAATTTACAGTATCACAGAACACTAATAATTAGTATCACAGAACAGTAAGATATAGTATGAGACAAGAATGTATCACCTGACACTTTTGCATAGTATCACAAAACACTATGGATGGTATCAAAATAAGCAATAATTAGTTAAATCACAAGACCGTTATGTTTAGTATCACAGGATAATAAAGGATAGTTTAGCATTAATAAATAGTATTACAAGACAATAATGGACTGTACCAAAGGACATTAATGTGAAGTATTACAAGACACTAATATAGAGTATCACAAAACAGTAGCTGATTATATTACAAGATAATGAATAGTTTCACAGGACAGTACTGATTATACCACATTACAGTATCATAAGACAGTAATGGTTAGTAATAAGGATTCTCAAATTTAGCAAAACAACAGAAGTCCTGTTACCATGGCATCGACATATAGTATGGGATGACTGAACACTGTGGTGATACAAGTATCCTCACATTTTTTTGCTTGCAGATCTTATGCAGATATTAAAATTGTTGTTACTAGACTTCTAGCTCAAGCACTTATTTAACAGCTTATGTTTGTGACTACATGTCTAAATATTCCAGATCATGGGCAACAAATGAGTGGATAGGCTGGCTGATACTTCCATTATGTCAGAAGGTGAGCAGGACTCACATTAGTATTTTCATTTTAATGAAATCTTCCTCTTCCTTCTTCTTTGTACACTTTCAGACATCAGCTTGAATATATTTAAAGAAATCAGTAGTCAACTAGAGGATGCCAACATTTCCAGTTTGTTAAAAAGTGAGTGTAGTC